GTTGTCTCATGACATTGATTACAATTACCCACAGTGCAACAGCTCCCCTCCCAGTTCCTCCCCATAGTTACATCTTCCCTGTGTCCTTCCCTCCCATGCACTCCTGCCCCCTGAGCTGTCTCCCTGTGTGTACACAGCCCTTCTATTCTCCCATGATTGATCTCTCAAAGGAGTGTATCTACCTAATGTAAATGCTCAGCTCATATGCCTGTCTTTTGTTTGGCTAGAAGCCACAGGAGTGGGTTCAGTTCCAGCCTGAAGGGCAGCTAAGGGCCATAGTCTCAGTGGTTCCTCAGGCTCTATCAAACCAACAAACCTGGTCCTTTTTTTTTTTTAATGATTTTGAGTTTCATTACACATTGCTCTCCCACTCTATCCGGAATCTCCTATATAGATTCCCCTTCAAGTGGTTGACAGTGGTAGCCAGGCACTGTCTAGTTCTTCTTGTCTCATAGTCGTATAGGCTGAGTATCACATGGTGTCCCAGTCCCTTGGACTAACTGTTTCCATGTGTCTTTGTTTCCTTCAGTCTTCTTTGCTCTGGATGAGGAGAGACCCACTGTTGCATCTAGATGGCCATTTGCAAGCTTTTAAGATCCCAGTCACTGCTCGCTAAAGTTGGATGTGGAACAATGTTTTGTGTAACATGTTATGCCATTTGAGCTTGGCGTCCCCTGTGACTATGGTCCCGAGCCCACAGGTCCAACTACTCACTCCCTCTGGATAGCTGCCTGTAGCCAAGAAGTGACTACAACCTTGTCCCTTGTCAGCTCTACTGGGAATTCTTACAGAACATACAAATACACTTGTAGAAGCATTGTCTACCAACCCTATACATGGTCTTGGGCACACACCCCCCTGCATGTTGTTGTTGTTATGTACCGTCAAGTTGGACCCGACTCATAGTGACCCTTCCTTGGGTTTCCGAGGCAGTGTATCACTACAGAAGTAGATTGCCCCATCTTCCTTCTGAGGAGTGGCTGGTGGATTTGAACTGCCAGCCTTCTCTGGTTAGCAGTCAAGTGCCTTAGGCACTATGCTACCAGAGCTCCCAAAAGAACTCCAGCCTCCCGCATGACAGGCAGGGATAGTCACCGCTATACTAATGAGGATGCCCCCCCCCTGCATTGACGTACCTAATAGTTCAGCCTGCCCACCCATCTATCCACCCATTTATCAGTGTTTGCTTTCACTGACAGTGCAGTAGTATATATGCAAAAGGGGTTCATCTTTGTTGTCTGTATCTCCCATGCACCTCTCTGTGTCTTCCTCTTCCTCAGTGCCACTGTGTTGGATCACTCACATTTGGTACAGTGCGCTTCTCTTCACCCAAATCAGTACCCATTTAGTAGTGTTCCCTACCCTCCCTTCCCACCCCTGGGTAGCCAACAAAGAAAATTTCCTTCCATATATAAACCTTTCCTTGACTTTTTATAGTACCAGCTAATACAGTATTTATCCTTCCTTCATACTCTCTTACTCTCCTTCTGTTGAGTATAGCATGATTCTGAGTAAGGCAGAATCAGCACTACCTATTAGCAGTTCTGGTGGAGTGGTAGTTGCAGTGCTTGGCTGCTAACTAAAAATTTGGAGGTACAAACCCACCAGACACTCCACAGGAAAAAGACATGGCAATCTGCATCCAAAAAGATTACAGCCTTGGAAATCCTGTGGGCAGTTCTACTCTGTCCAATAGGGTCACTAGGAGTAAGAATTGACTCAGTGGCAATGGGTATCACCACTTGTTATACAGAAGGTCACCATAGGCTGGAGCCAACTCAGTGCAAACTAACAACAATGTCAGCAGTTGCCTGTTAAAGATCACATTAGTAACTTGGTTATTTTTGTTAACCAATTTAATATTTACGTTTAGATACAAGAAAGATGGCTGCAAGATAACCTTACTTTAAGAAAAAGAAATGAGGAACTAAAAGAAGTTGAAGAAGAAAGAAAACAGCATTTGAAGGAAATGGGACAAATGCAGGTTTTGCAGATGAAAAAGTATGTTTTAAAAATAGTTATTAGTTTAAACAGTCTTTTTTATTGAAATGTGAATACTATTAAAAATAATGCCAGCCTCGTCCTTGAGACTTACAGGAAGGTGGATAGAGTTTTTTACAAATGTATTTCATGTCCTTAAGAAGAATTACTGAATACATGGTATAGAATTGACATTTACACTGTGGGGGTGGGCACTAGTTGTTGAGTATTAAACATATGCAGTCCCTAGACTTCTGCTAGGCTGCTTCATAAAGTAGTGATACAGAGTTTGTAGAATGTATTCCCATTGACTGCCTGAGTCAGAGCTTGTACAGTAGTTATTGGCAGAGCAGTTTATCAGTATTGTTCTAGATTGTCCCAGTTGTGATTATGTTCCACCAGAATATTTTTCTGAAAGATTAGCTGCTCCTTCCTTCATTGGGTTTGGTTGGTACTTGTAATAGTACCAACCTTCCTGATACAGCAGGAAAGATTTTGTTCCTATTTTCGCTACCTTTGAGTTGCCTTAGGGATCCTTTAAGAACCTGCTTGATGCTAAGGTACTAGATTGGTATAAAAGGTTGTATTAGCCAAATACTTAGATTTTGAACCACCTCAGCTGACTGAATATATGTCTCTCATTTATTCAACCTTCCTTTGTAGATTTTTCATCTTCCTTCTTGACTTTATCCAGAAACCTAAATCAAAGAACACTTAAGTTTTTGTAAAGGATATAGATAGTGAAAGTTTAACTTATAAAACTAATAAATTATTTATTTTATAAATAAATTTATAAAACTAATAAATGCTTAACCCTATATACTGTCAGTACTCTTGGTGTAACTAATTAAAAACTCTTTCATTTACCAAGGAAATCAGATTGAAACCTGAAGAGTTCATTATTTTCAACCTTTTTGTCTTTTGTGCATTAGGACACTGATACCCAGAAAAATCACAAAGGAAATTATGATGAAAGGCAGGGCTACGAGTTATGCTATACTGGTTTCCAAGCGTCAGCTCTTTAATACTGTAATGTTAGTGTTCTCTGTGACAAATTAGAAAAGTAAACCTTTTAGAGGAAACTTCTAAAAGAAACTATTTACTCTTTGCTTCTGAAGACCAGAACCAGATATTTTTATGGTTCTTTCTTTGATTGGTGCATATGAATGCTTTTTACATCCATCAAGATTGTTAGTACAGAGCCAGCACCAGGCTGAGCCAGGCCACTATGGAGAAAATCACACTGCACCTCAACGCTGTGCTGGAGAACGTCATTAGCCTCTGGCCTATGGGCAAAGACTGCCGGTGGTACTTGAAGATGAAATGTGGCAACTGCGGTGAGATTTCAGAGAAGTCACAATACATCTGGTTGATGGATAGTGAGGCACTTTAGAGGAGGTTGTGTAGCACCTACATGGTCCAGAAGTGCAAGCTGTGTTCTTGGGAAAACTCCATCGAGATTTTGAGCAGCACCATCAAATTTTATAATGCTGAAGACAGTGAGATGTTCAAGACTATAGTAGAGTTTGAGTGTCAGTTAATTTCCAACTGTAGTCCGGGTTTGCTGCCAAGTGTGTGGAGTTGGGGACAATCTTCAGTGACATTAACCTGCAGGAGAAGGACTGGACTGACTATGATGAAAAAGTTCAACTGTTAGTGGGAATCCACTAAATCACACACCAGTTTATGAAGTTTTAAGCCCTCTTGTCCCTAAGAAGTGAAAACAGATAAAGTGCCCCAAGCAACAGTGCCACTTGAGACTGGTTTCTGCATTCCTCTTTTCTTGGCACCCTTCCCACCCTCCATTCCCAGTTAAATCCCTTTTCATGCTTTGCTGGTCCAGAAAGATGGATTTGGGCAGCAGCCATTCCCTCCACAAATAATATACATGAAGAGTCTCTGATACTTACTGGTACCTTTCCACAGTTTAAAACCCTCCACCTAATCCATTTAGTAAAATACATAGGAGCACACAGCTTGTAAGGGCTCTCCAGCTATGGAGGAGCAGTAGGTTAACACAAGGAAGCTGGGCCTGTGAAATCATGCTGTGAGCCCAGTAGTCCTGAGCGGAGATATACATTGGCCCTGGAATCCATTATTTGGTGTCACTTCGGATTCTGTGGCCAAAAGTGACTTTAGAAGTCAATAGCACAGTCATGGCATGAATCTGGTCGACAAAATTCCTGCAAAATGATCCTCTGGTCTTTCCTATCAGGAGCCAATATAAAAGTTCCTCCTGGTGCTAAGTTAGCTGCTATGCTCCTTGCAGCTCTTCCTGCTGGTCCTGGTTTGTCCTTTGGCCATACTTGCATATGATTTATGACAGGTGGTGTTGTAGATCAATAGAGAAATTGTTAAGTCATCAATAAATGGTACTGGGGTGATTTTTTTTTAAAGACTATTAGTACAGTAGCCCCCCCCCCCCTTGTCTGCAGGCCATGTGTTCCAAGACCCCAAGTCTGATGCCTGAACTGCAGATATTACTGACCCCTATACTATGTTTTTTCCTGTACATACATAGCTATGATAAAATTTAATTTAAAAATTAGGCACAGTAAGACTTTATAATAACAATAATAATAAAATAGAACAATTACTGAGTAAAATGAAAGTTAATTGAACACAAGCACTGGGATACCACAGCAGTCAATCTTATAACCAAAATGACTACTCATGACTAACAGGCTGGGTAGTATATACAATGTGGATATGTTGGACAGGGTGATTCATGTCCCGGGTGGGATGAGATGGGATGGTGAAAGATTGCATCATTCTACCCAGAACAGCATGCAATTTAAATGTTGTAAATTGTTATTTCTAGAATTTTCCATTTAATGTTTTTAGACTGTGGTAACTGAAACTGCAGAAAGCAAAACAGCGGATAAGGAGGGGGCTACTGTGTAACTCTTCTTTCTCAAACCTTTTTTCAACCAGGGGACAACAGAAATGTCAATAAAACATGTAATTAGGCCAACTCTGTAGGAATGTCTATACAGAGCAATTGCCTGTTACATAAGAGGGTGCTTAGTAGGTGATTATTGAATGAAGGTTTTTAAAGCATACATTAAAATTTGCATAATCTACCAAATTATCAGGAGCTGTGGTAGCATAGTGCCTAAGGCACTTGACTGCTAACCAGAAGGCTGGCGGTTCAAACTCACCAGCCTCTCCTTGGAAGGAAGGTTGGGCAATCTACTTCCGTAGTGATACCGCCTCGGAAACCCAAGGAGGGGTTGCTATGAGTCAGGTCTGACTCGACGGCACATAACAACAACGACAACAACCAAATTACCAGAAAATTTGGGGCATTTTATTTCTGTTTGGCCAGTACTATGATTTTTATACTTGTGTAAGAAACCTGTTTTCATAGAGGAGTCCAAATTTTTAATAAATATTACTGCAGAAAGTTAATACTTAGTTTCATTTAGATAACATTGTATTCTGTCTTTAACATACTGTGAACAAAATGA